AAATGTCCATGGCTAAGCCATAGTCCTGATAGTTTTCACAATATGACCATTTGTTTGCAACTCACCCCGCCCATTGACATTCATTGAAACTCCACTCTAGCCACCTCAAATTTGAAGGGCAGTTTCTAAACTGCGACTGTGCCTTCATTTTTAATATTTCAGAGACATACTATGCATCAAAATGTAGGTCTTGCTCTTCGGTGTAGGATTTATAATTTTTAAACTACAACCGTTTGAAGATGGCAACCGCCAGTGAAGTGAGCAAGTTGGAGCAGTTTGTTTTTAAGCGCTCTTCTCTGCCCTTGCTGTAGAGTGAGTTGCCACAGGAACCCAGGTGTGTGAGCAGGCAGCAGAGTGACAAAAGCTAGAGTGTGAGTTGTAGACTACTGGTGGAAGCAAGAACACTTCACACAATTTCCCCAAAAATTGTAGCTTTTCTAGTTAGTTTATTTTTTATGATTATTTATTATATTATAATTTATGATTTTGTGTTTCAAATTTTATCATACCCGGGATGTTTAGTAGACTCTTGTTCAGACACATTTCAGTGAGTTAATCCTAAGAATTACAGGCCTACAATAAAAAAAACAACATATTTCCATTGAAAACAATGTACCGCTTTGAGCACAGAAATACTGACACAATCAGACCGCTAGGGAGGTTAATCAGTGCCGCCTATCAATGCCCATCAGTGCTCAACAGTGCCCATCAGTGTTGCCTAACTGTGCCGCCTCAGTGGTTCCTTGTCAGTGCAGCCTATCAGTGTCCATCAGTGAAGGAGAAATATTACTTATTTACAAAACTTTATAACAGAAACTAAGAAAAACTTTTTTTCTCAAAAAGTTTGGTCTTTTTTAGTTTGTTTAGCAAAAAATAAAAACCCCAGTGGTGATCAAATAACACCAAAAAAAAAAAAAAAAAAAAAAGCTCTATTTGTCTCAAAAGTACAATAAAAATTTAGTTTGGGTACAGTGTTGCATGACCACGCAATTGCCATTCAAAGTATGAGCACACTGAAAGCTGAAAATTGGTCTGGGCAGGAAGGGGGTAAAAAGTGCCTGGTAGGCAAGTGGTTAAATGTGTAACATACAGTATGTTAAATATGTTTGTGACATATTTGTTGGTTGCATTATTAGTTACCCAGAAAAAGTTGGCTGAACCAACTTTGACTGCATTTACAGCTGCAGTCTTTTGGGGGTAAGTCACTACCAACTTTGCCCAACTAGGATCTTGAATTTTTTTGCAAAAATCATTTTCATGCTGGAAGGTAAACCTTCACCCTAGTCTTCAATCTATTGTAGACAAAAACAGATTTTCCTTTAGGATTGCCCACTATTCGACCCCACTGATCATTTTCACAGTTCTGACAAGTTTCCTAGTTCCTACCAGTAGAGAAAAAAAAAAAAAGGAATCCCTGCAACATGATGCCACTTTTCCAGGTTTCATCTTGGGAATGGTATCCTTAGGTGATGAGCTGCTGGCTTGGTCTACAAACAGACTTTTGTTCCAAGACCGAAAGAGTTCAAACAAAAAAACAAACAAACAAGGGTCTAAATTCCATTACAATAAACCAACGAAAATGATCACTTCTGAAAGATAGCAAGAACAAATTATTTAATATCATCCTGACAAGGGGTATTCAGAAAGTAACTACTGAGAGCTATGAACTTTAGCCCTCCAGTATGTAGCCTCTGGGCTTGTGGTCCTGCAGGGTGACACCAACTAGCTTATAAGCAAAGGAGCAAGTATGTGAGGTTCCCTGTGCTACTCAATGGGGGTCACAGAGAAAAGGAGAAGAATAAAAAAAGGGAGGTAGAGGAGATTGATAGGGGTATGGATAAGGGTTTTATAATCCAATAGACTGTCCAGCTCTCTCCCCCCACTTACAATCAACTGTCCACCCCTGAAATCAAATTCTGATGTCAGAAATGGTGTAAGGGTTCTCCAATGTTTAATTTACAGTAGCCAATTACAATGTATTTTGGACATGCTGTCTTTGTACTCAGATAAACCTTTTTTTTTTTTTAAATGCACCTCCCTCATGTCTTCTGGAAAACTCCAGGCAGGATTTGAAAACAGATTTTTAAGCAGTGGCATTGCTGTTGTCACTATTTTATCATACGTCATTCAATGATAAGATTATGGTTATGTTATGAACGGTTTCTGCCATCTCTAACTCCTTTAGTTATCATAGGACTTTTCATTGACTTGGCCTAAGCCACCTTTATTCGGTCAGAATTCCTTCCATCTATAAAAGGTTTAAAAACAGCAAGGTTTTCAAACTGAGGTTTTTTTGTTTGTTTTTTATTTTATACCCCAATTTTATTAGTACTTCATTTTGGATTTTAGGGGTGTAAAGCATTCTACTAAATCGTGTGACTTCTGGAAGGCAACTGAGTGCACCAGAGCTTATTTAGGGATTTGATTTCAAAGTAAAACACTTTAGAATAAAAAGCCTACTTTTCAGAGTCCTCCTTTAGTCAAAACGAAACAAGTAAAGCAATACAAAAAAGGTACATTTCATGATTTATTTAAATTATTTTGATATTGTACAAGAGCAAAGTTAAAGGACATGAATAATTTCTCAGTTACAGAAATAGTTTTAAAGGAAATGAAAAACACATACAAACTTAAATATACAGTCAGAAAATTGGAAAGACAAATCTACAGGTGACTTGAAAGTCATGTGTCCTGGGTTTCCTCTTGGAGGAAGTAAAAATATTGCACTTGTAAGAACAATCTTCCATAAAATGGAAACATTAGAAACCTAAAATTACACATTGCTATTTACAGTCCTCAGATAAATGGATAAGGAGGGTAAAGGAAAACAGTCATGAGAAACTTATGGGAGGTAGCACTGCCCTCCTTTTTCATTCTTAGGTGCCTGGCTGTCATGCTGACATTCTTGCACTATTACTTTGACTTTGTCCAAGAAAAAAGTATTCCGATACAGATTTCGGACTTAACTAGACTTGACTGATCTCTATATTTGTTCCAGGTCAGTAGCTCAAATTAATGAACCAAGGGGGTCAGAATAGCAACCAGACAACCAAGTTTAAGTAGGTCAGCAAAGGCAGCCCCTTTGTCTTTCTCTTATGAAGGGATCACTTAAATGTGTTGTTTTCTTGTTCTTTGTCCAGAAAGTAGGGAGTCCATAAAACACTTAGCATACACTGTGATGTATTTCAGGGTCAAGATATAAGATATATACCACCGTTGTCAACCTAGATGTACAGTATGTAAGATAAATAATTAGGAAAACAGATAGTTGTGTTCAAAATAATAGCAGTCCAACATCACTGACCAGATCAATTACTGGTTTTGGTGTAAATTATATTTCTACATGGCAAATAATTTATTATTAGGTGTAGTAGGGTAATAGAAAACCAACAGACCCAACAGTCACGACATGGATGCTGCCGATTCTGTGTAACTGAATCATTAATTGAAAAGGGGCATGTTCAAAATAATAGCAGTGTGGAGTTCAATTAGTGGGGTCATTCAGTCTGCAAAAGAACAGGTGTCAAACAGATGGCCATTATTTAAGTACGAAAGCAGCAAATGTTGTACATGCTGGGTATAGTGCATTTCTCACTGAAAATCTGAGTAAAATGGGCCATTGCAGACAATGTTCAGAACAGCGTACTTTGATTAAAAAGTTGATTGAAGAGAGGAAAACATAAAGTGGTGCAGAAACTGATAGAATGCTCAGGTAAAATGATCTCAAATACTTTAAAATGGCAACCAAAACCAGAAAGACATGGAAGAAAAAAACCCCCCCCCCCAAAAAAACCAAAAAACCAAAAAACACAAAAAACTACTATTAGAATGGATCGAAAAATAGCCAAAATAGCAAAGACTCAGCCAAAAGCTCCAGGGTGATCAAAGAAGGTCTAAAGTTACCTCTGAGTACACAATTAGAAGACACCTATGTGAAGCCAAGCTATTGGCAAGAAGTCCTTGCAAAGTCCCATTGTCGAAAAAATGCTGAAGAGATTACAATTTGCCAAAGAACACATTGACTGGCCTAAAGAGAAATGGCGCAACATTTTGTGGACTGATGAAAGCAAGATTGTTGTTTTTGGGTCTATGGGCCACAGTTAGTTTGTCTGATTACCCCTAAACACTGAATCCAAGCCAGGGTACACTGTGAAGACAGTGAAGCATGGTGGCGCAAGCATCCTGATATGAGGCTGTTTCTCATGGTGTTGGGCCCATTTATTGAATACCAGAGATCATGGATCAGTTTGAATACACCAAAATACATGAAGAGATCATGTTGCTTTATGCAGAAGAAATACCCTTGAAATGGGTGTTCCAACAAGACAACGACCCCAAAGTGAGCAGCATCTTGGTTCCAGACCAACAAGATTATTATTTTCTGCGGTAAAACCAAGAAATGCAGAGGAATTGTGGAGTATGTAGTGCAGTCATTCTGGGCTGGAATACCTGTTCACAGGTGCCAGAAGTTGGTTGACTCTATACAACACAGATATTAAGCAGTTCTCAAACAGTGGTTATACAACTAAATATTAGTTCACGATCCACAGGAAAGCTAAATCTTCATGCATTTCTCAGTTTATGCAGGAAATATTTGAGTTTGTAAAGAAAAATGCAGACACTACTATTTTTTTAAACAGCCTAATATTCCTTTTTCTTCGCTTTCTGTAAAGCAATACAAAATTTTAAACATGTTTCTTGTTGTTTTAATTTGGAATAGATTGTGAAGTGTTCCTAATACATTTGTGTGTATGTAAATAAAAGCTATAAGTATTTTGAGCTTTACTCACATTTTTAAAACACATTGCTATTATTTTTAACACAACTGTATTTGTATTGATACAAGCAAGGGTATGTGTATGCACTACTCATTTCTGAAATCATTTTAAGGATTTTTCATGGTGACATTCCAGAATTACATATTACCAGACTTGTTAAAAACAGACACAGCAGTGTGTAAATGAGGAGCGAATGAATGTCTTTGGGTTACAGCTCAACACTCACTGTTGGAGCCAGCTCCAATCCAGGCTCTAATCAGAAAAAAAAAAAAAAAAAGAAAGAAGATGTTAGACTATTTTTTACCACAGTTTAGTAAAGTATAAAATAAATAAAATACTAAGACAAAAATGCATCAATATACAGGATAAAGTTACAAAGAAAAGCAGAAGTATTTTATAGAATCAGTAAGGCTTTGTGTGTCCAAAAGTGTGTTAGACTGTTTTTGTCTCTTAATATTGCATAGAATATAATTAATTGTAGATCGTGAACTTGTTGCCATTAATCACAATATTATAGCCCAACTTTCAAACAATACAAAAATATGGCAACTTTGGCTGCAATAATAATGTTTAATTTAAAAACGGCCATCTGCAAGATGTCCTGAGTTTTTCAGACTGAATGGCACTCACACTTGCTTTAGTCTTTTGGGTTGAGTGACACTGAGTGCAAGGAGTCATGGCCTTGCCTCCTAAGCACAGCACTCTGCAATCACGGTGTACTGATGCACACACCAGCGCTGTGATCATCACACCAGCTTTACTTTATGCATCATCCAGGGTTACCAAACACTAGAAGCCTGAAGAGGACTCCGCACAGCACGTGACCAAACAGAAGGACATCAGAAAAAAAAAAATAAATCATACAAGTATCCTAGAGGATGGGGATGGAGCCCAGAGCTTTGAAAAAAAAATATAAATAAATAAAAAGCGTAATAGGAGACTGAAATAAAGGTTAAATTACTACTTCTAGTAACAAAAAAACTCACCACTAAACTGCTCTCCTTTTCTTTTGTGCTTTCCATAATCAGGGTACTCAGTTGTTTCTGGTAGAACAGATTCTCATCTATGGCACGCTTAAATGCTTCCCTAAAAAGAAGAATATTGCGCTTTAAATTATGTTTAAAAGTAAACTATATCTACCCAATATAAAGCAACCAACACTGAAAGATGAAAAAAAGTCACCCTTTTCATTTTTGGTATCCTTCCTTCCTACCATCAATCTGTTATGCATTAGACAATACGTCATTATGCAGGAAAATTGGCAATCCAGCAAATGAAAGGCTGCATTTTAATAGTACATACCTGTTCTTGTCTTTTGGAAGAAGCATAGAAGTGAGAGCTTGAGGAGAGTTTGGGTCTGACCAACCTGCTGGACGAGGACTAGCTGAGTTCTCTAAACTAGAAGGTCCCAATGAGCGTGCAGAGCTTTGGGTCTACAAAAAAAAGAAAATAATGGATATTTTATTTTACCATCCATCTGCATTAAATTATCAAGTCAAACCCTATGAATTACAAGCAAATTCTACCCTCAAAAGCTATTAAAGAGGCTGTAATTGTGACCCCATTTTAAAGATACTAATTACCTGGCTATCACTTGAATCTAAACTTTGAGTCACTGACCCTGAACAAGAATGCAGACCGCTAAGTATGTGACAAACCACTGGACCATCATCAGAATATATATATATATATATATATATATATATATATATATATATATATACACACACACACACACACACACACACACACACACACACACACACACACACACACACACACACACACACACACACACACACACACACACACACACACACACACACACATATATATATATACATACATACAGTGGGGATCGAAAGTTTGGGCACCCCAGCTAAAAATTTGTATTAATGTGCATAAAGAAGCCAAGGAAAGATGGAAAAATCTCCAAAAGGCATCAAATTACAGATTAGACATTCTTATAATATGTCAACAAAAGTTAGATTTTATTTCCATCATTTACACTTTCAAAATAACAGAAAACAAAAAAATGGCGTCTGCAAAAGTTTGGGCACCCTGCAGAATTTATAGCATGCACTGCCCCCTTTGCCAAGCTGAGACCTGCCAGTGTCATGGATTGTTCTCAATCATCGTCTGGGAAGACCAGGTTATGTCAATCTCAAAGGTTTTAAATGCCCAGACTCATCTGACCTTGCCCCAACAATCAGCACCATGGGTTCTTCTAAGCAGTTGTCTAGAAAACTGAAACTGAAAATAGTTGACGCTCACAAAGCTGGAGAAGGCTATAAGAAGATAGCAAAGCGTTTTCAGATGTCAATATCCTCTGTTTGGAATGTAATTAAGAAATGGCAGTCATCAGGAACAGTGGAAGTTAAAGCAAGATCTGGAAGACCAAGAAAAATATCAGACAGAACAGCTCGCATGATTGTGAGAAAAACAATTCAAAACCCACGTTTGACTGCACGATCCCTCCAGAAAGATCTGGCAGACACTGGAGTTGTGGTACACTATTCCACTATAAAGAGATACTTGTACAAATATGGTCTTCATGGAAGAGTCATCAGAAGAAAACCTCTTCTACGTCCTAACCACAAAAATCATCGTTTGAACTTTGCAAATGAACATATAGACAAGCCTGATGCATTTTGGAAACAAGTTCTGTGGACCGATGAGGTTAAAATTGAACTTTTTGGCCGGAATGAGCAAAGGTACGTTTGGAGAAGAAGGGGCACAGAATTTAATGAAAAGAACCTCTGTCCAACTGTTAAGCATGGGGTTGGATCAATCATGCTTTGGGGTTGTGTTGTAGCCAGTGACACAGGGAACATCTCACGAGTAGAAGGAAAAATGGATTCAATAAAATTTCAGCAAACTTTGGATGGTAACTTGATGCCATCTGTGAAAAAGCTGAAGTTAAAGAGAGGATGGCTTCTACAAATGGATAATGATCCTAAACACACCTCGAAATCCACGGGGGATTACATCAAGAGGCGTAAACTGAAGGTTTTGCCATGGCCTTCATAATCTCCTGACCTCAACATAATTGAAAATCTATGGATATACCTTAAAAGAGCAGTGCGTGACAGACAGCCCAGAAATCTCAAAGAACTGGAAGACTTTTGTAAGGAAGAATGGGCAAAGATACCTCAAACAAGAATTGAAAGACCCTTGGCTGGCTACAAAAAGCGTTTACAAGCTGTGATACTTGCCAAAGGGGGCAGTACAAGATATTAACTCTGCAGGGTGCCCAAACTTTTGCAGACGCCATTTTTTTGTTTTCTGTTATCTTGAAAGTGTAAATGATGGAAATAAAATCTAACTTTTGTTGACATATTATAAGAATGTCTAATCTGTAATTTGATGCCTTTTGGAGATTTTTCCATCTTTCCTTGGCTTCTTTATGCACATTAATACAAATTTTTAGCTGGGGTGCCCAAACTTTCGATCCCCACTGTATATATATATATATATATATATATATATATATATATATATATATATATATATACACACACACACACACAGTTTCATGATTCTTAATAAAATCACCATGGTATATACAGCAAATACTATGTATTTAGAGAACCCGGTACACCAACTCATCTAAGGTCAGCCGTTGCCTATTTTCTTAAAAAGCAACAGCTGCATTAAAAAGTGGTATTTATGCCAGGAAAAACAGATTCCATTCTTCTGAGCACTCATACACAGACTTATAAAAGACCAAAGTGAAACTCCAGTCATAATACCCACAAGCCTTCCCAACACAGAAGTACTGCCATGCATTAAATGATCTTGTGCTGTGGTGCTAAAAAACAAAACTACATTTGAAAGGAGTGCTGAACAGCAGGCCTGTCTAATTCACCAATGAACAGATCATCAAATCCGGCTCCTTAGGCAGAAAAGCCAGGGATCATTTTACTGAAAATTATAAAAATGAGAGCACCAGCTGGAAATTTCAAGTAAAAACTTAAAACACAACTAAAGTCTGCAGAATACTCACTGGCATTCCACCAACACAACAGTTGGATTTCTCAGCAGCCACGGACATCTCCTACCTGGGCTTTTTCTGGGTGCTAGGTTTTTGGACTATTGACTGGCTGGTAGGGATGATGTAGCTGCCATGCATGCGCATAGGAGTCATTCATCCTGGCACACTGGCACCATGCCAAGAACGCATGCTAAACTGTTAATGTACAGCTCAGTGAACATTCAATAGAAGAAACTGCGAATAGGGAGGCAATATAATAGTGCAGAAGGGAAATAGCATGTTTTTTCTGCAATAAAAAGCTGTCTGCTTGCAATTTTTTACTTCAACATGCTATACAAGATCCCATGAATTAAATTATTAAAACTATTGGATTTTTAATTTAATTTTAAGTCAATGGAGAACACAACAGGAAGTATGGGAACCCCAAATCTCCAAGGTGGACAGGAAGAGAACATTATCTATGATAGGACGATCTCACCACTGAAGACTCCAAGACTTAAGAATTCCACTACACTGCTCTTATAAGCGAAATTTCACTTAGATAGTTTCATTACCAAAATACTGTACCCAGATTAGCTTGCAGCGCCCATCAGTAACTAAACAGTAACAAGAAATACTCACACATGCAATTTTCAGAAGATGCCAGATTTCTCGTTGACGTTTGGCTTGCATCTGCATCAAGGAACTATCAGCTTCCTTAATGTTATTTATGGTCATCTCAATCTGAGGCAACAGTTCAATAATTTTCTGCTTACAACCCAAAAGTCGGCTAAGGGAAAACATTTTTTTTTTAGTAAAGGGGAAAAACAAAAAACCACACACATAAACCAAAAAAAAAAACAGCAACTCAGTCTGCATTACAAAAAATTGTACACATGGGCTTTGGCTTGGATAAGAACAGTGTATGCAGACAACATTTGCAAAGCTTTAAGCTAGCTTCAAACTGTTTTTGTGATACCTTTAACCACAAGCCTACAGGGCACTTATATTCCTCCCTGCCCAAGCCAATTTCCAGCTTTCATCGCTGTTGCACTTTGAATGACAATTGCGCGGTCATGCAACACTGTACCCATATGAAATTTTTATCATTTTTTTGTGACAGAGCGTTATTTTGGAGTATTTAATCAACTCTGTTTTTTTTATTTTTTCTTAAACAAACCAAAAACCACTGAAAAAAAAAAAAAACAAAAAACGTTTTTTCTTAGTTTTGTTTATAAAATTTTGTAAATAAGTGATTTTTCTCCTTTACTGATGTGCGCTAATGAGGCTGCACTGATGGACACTGATGAGGAGGCACTGGTAGGTGGCACTGATGGGCATTGACAAGCATCACTGATGGACACTGAAAGGCAGCACTGATATATGGCACGGATAGGCGGCACTGATTGGCAGCATTGATAGGTGGCACTGACAGGCAGCTCAGATGGGCACTGATATGTAGCATTGATGTGCACTGGTAGGCACTGATATGTGGCATTGATGTGGCACTAATGGGCACTGGCACGTGGCACTGACAGCTGTTACTGATGGGACACTGACAGGTGGCACTTCTGGGGCTACACTGATCATCAGGGCACACTGATCATCAGGGCTCTGATAATCAGTGTACATGTCCGCTCCGCGGAATGCCGATTACCGGCTCTCCTCAGCGTGACAGCTCGAGAGGAGAGACATGCCGATAACCGGCATTTTCCTGTTTACATGTGATCAGCTGTGATTGGACACAGCTGATCACATGACCGAGCCGACATCTTCTCTTTCTGTGGATCGGTGCGGTGCCGCACTCCGGGAGCCGCGCATGTGTGGTTAGAATGGGAGGACATCATATGATGTCCTCCCAGAACAAGAGAACCACCTTGCGTACGTCATATTATGATATGGCGGGAGGTGGTTACAGCATAATTTAGGTCCAGTTTGGAGGTTATACACAGATTTTAAAAGTGCTGAACAATGAAAATCCAGGAATCCCTGTTGCACTTTGAATGACAATTATGCGATCAACACTAACTGTAAGAAATTTTTATGATTTTTTTTTTTGAGACAGAGAGAGCTTTAATTTGGTGGCATTTAATCACCACTGGGTTTTTCGCTCTTTGCTAAACAAATTTAAAAAAAGACAAAAATGTTTCGATTATACAATTTTGCAAATAAGTAATTTTTCTTTTTCACGGATGTGCTCTGATGAGGCTGCAATGATGGGCACTGATGAGGAGGCACTCACTGGCACTCATAATCAGGACACTGATGATCAGTGCCCTGATTATCAGTGTAAACCATGTATTGACAGTTTTGCCAGTAATCTACTTTCCTTGACTCACACAGATACAGCATGAGGAAAGGGCTGCCGATAACTAGCAAGTCTGTTTACATGTGATCAGCTGTGATTGAACACAGCTGATCACATGGTAAAGGGCCACTGATTGGTTCTTTACCTCGATCTATGATCCAAAAGGACACGGCAACCACAGAGCACACCCAATGCTCATCCTGGGACGTGCAGGGGGAAGGGTTCTAAGAGGACGTCTATAGACATACTCCCAAAACTAGCCGACCGTGCTGAAGCTGTCTTTCATCTATAGTCCACTTGGCAGGAAGTTAAACAAACTGCTAGCAGACTTCACGTGATTGTAAATGCAATTTTTTTTTAAAATAAATAACAAATAGGTTAATACTTACTTACCTGCTCCTTGAAATGGAATTGCATAGGGTCTCCCACTGGCGCTCCTGGCTCCTCCTCTCCGAAGAGTACTCTCATAGGCAACTCACTACCGTGCCTCGTTGCCTGTATCCATAGACAGACAGTGGGACCAGGCCATGCCCCCTGCTCCCAATGGCTCCTGCTGCCTCAGCAAAGCCAGAGAGACCAGGAAGTGAGGGGGAGAAAAAAAAGCTGTAGACAGGCACAGCACTGGATCGCATGAGGGCTCAGGTAAATAAAAGTAAGCTTCAGCACTACCATATATAAAGTATGTTAAAAGCCAGTCATTACTTCCCTTAAAGTGGAACTTCACCCAAAAGGAGAAGTTTCCGCTTGTTTACATTCTGTCTAACCTGCCCCTGAACACAGTGATTTATATTTTATGTAAACATACATGAATTGATAACTTTATAAAATATCCTAAAAACACAAATAAATGCATGTATGACATCACCAGTGTAAATGAGGCCTTAGAACTTTAGTTTTGTTCCTTTTTTCTTAGAATTCTGTCTGTATCCCACTTTTAGATTAGAGAGATATTCTGACTTAAGCAATATTAAGCTTACCTCAAATGGCCAAATAGTTCCTTTAAAAACTTTATCCTGGCCCTGCACGGTCATCACAATGGTTCTCACCATTTCGGTACTATCACTGTAGGCATTTTCTTAAAATAAATGGATTGCCAACTTTAGTTAAAATATCAACATCTTGTTAAAATAATAAAATCTACATAGGATATCAAACACACACCTGGAGACCGAGGCTTTAACTGCTTGTATAATTCTATAGCCTTCTGTTCCCTGGGAAAAAAATATATTCATTATACAGCATCACAATCTACTCTGACACCAAACAAGTGTTACAAACACATGAGAGCACAGGCAGTGTTCAGCAATGATAACATTGCCATTAGTCTATTATCTGTGCTAGTGGAGGGGAGAAAAAAAAAAAAAAAAAAAGAAGAAGTAGTACCAATGTAGGAGCAGCTGCACAGCAGAGTCAGACTACTGAATTCTTATCTCTCTGTAATTTGTAGTCAGTGGAGAAGCTATTCGAGAGAAGTAGTAACTGAGAAGTGACAGGAAAAAGTGTTTGGCCTTTAGCTTGTATAAAAACAGTATGAACAGCAAGATTTTCTGAAACTTTCAGCAAGCTTCGAGTAGTTTTCTCTAAGCCTTCCAAGCGCTCTTCAACTGTTTGGAAATGTTACATAGATCTTAATTGGAGGGCTGTCTGTCACTTTAAATATGCTGCTAGCAGGCTTTACCAAGCTTTAGGTAGTGCTGAAGCCTGCTAGCAGCTTGTTTAAAGTGACAATCATCAAATCAATCGCATTAAGGTCTGTGTTCAACATTTAAAAAAATGGGAGCTGAGGGCTGCTTTAAAAAGCTTCAACAAAGCTTGCTGAAAGTGCTGCAAATGTTTTGTGAAAACTTGCTGTTCACACTGCTCTTATATAGGCTGAAGTCATGTGAAACAGGCCTTAGTGGTGAGTAGCAGAATTCGGGTTGATTGCATGGAGGAAGGTGGAAGAGGGATGAAGGTTAAAACAGACCATACAGTTAAAAAAAAAAAAATCTAATCTACCAAGCTCTTTTCCCCTTTCTCCTCTATTCCCCACTCTGCCACTACTTCTCTGTCTTCACAGTCGCTAATTCTCTCAGGTCACACAGATCGTTTGCTTCTGACAATTGCATTTACTTCATAACGCTCACATTTCAATTCACGCATACACGCACACACTTGTGCTCTGTAAGTATTGGTATTTTACCACGTACTAGTGATTTTTTATTACTGTTCAAGTCATCACCCCTTAAAATAGCACTAGGTGGTGATACCTGAGAGGGTCAATAGTGGACTATGGGGGAGAGAAAAAGAAAACCGAGCCAGTTGAAGGGGTGACAAAATAACATCCTTTGGGGATAAAATAACCTTTAAAAAAACAAAAAAACAAAACAAAAACAGGATTTTAGACAGAATAATGGTAATTTCACAGGAAAAAAAATAAAGATTAAACATATGGATGAGATGTTTGAGACATGAAGATTTTAGAAGATAATCATTAGGTAAAATAAGATATGGTGTTATAATAAATCACCCATCTTAGTGAGCCGAGCCTTTTGGGTTAGGGGAGCTTTGTAAGTTAGAGTTTTGAACTCCATTGTCTGTGTAACCTACAGGGAGGGAGGGAAAATAAAGAAAAGCTATAGCCAAGGCTCTATTCCCACTTGAGCATTTTGTAGCTTGAAGCTCCAATCTCCAAAAAAAAAAAAAAAATCAATTGTTCTCCATGTTCATGTGAACAGGCACCATAGAGAACAATTGATTTTTTAAGTTTGAGCATTTTTGGAGCTTTCAGCTTCAAGCTACAAAACGCTCAAGTGTGAATGCAGCCTTAGAGGAGAAATGGATACACTGATAGTGGTGTCAGTGGGTTCAGTAAGAGGTTAAAAAAAATTGTGATAAAATCATCAACTAAACAATTATAGGAAATGTTTTAAATTGGAGACAACAGGAGTTAGTTAAGAAAATCTGTATTCTAAATAAAATGATAAAGTAGACCTGTGTGAAGGTTTAAAAGACAGAATGTAGCAGGCACATAAAAAGGCAGCTGCTTCACTTTAACCACTTGAGGATGTTGAATGTAAGAGACACATCCTAAACAATTTTTAGGATGCATCTCTTACATCCAGCTCCTATCCCCCTGCTGCAGTCCCCCAATGCTATTACTGATAATTACCAGCTGTCAAGATATATTGTAACAGTGCGACAAAAGAAAAGTTGCATTGGCTTTTAAAACGTACCCCCAAAGTGTGTGTTACTTTGTTATCTTAAGTAATGACAAGGTACCCCATGTAAACAGGCTCATACTGAACAGTTGTTAAAATTTGCTTTGGGGTATAACGGTAGCTGAAGTGCTTAAAAGCACTGTCCAAACTCCTGAAAATCTTCCTGAAAGACTGCATTTGAACATGGCTAGGCACATCTCTGCCTCCCCACCCTCTATGTAACAACATAGGTGGTAAATCATCTGGTAAATGGCTGCTCAGGAACCCCAATGCAGCATTATACAGAGGGGGCAGGGCAGTGTCCACAAGTACCCTACATTAGAAAGTATCAGTTTTCTTTTCAAGAATCTGGAAAGGTGAACCATGGTGTTTGGGAGTGCTGTAGAAGTGGGAACTGTCAATATGATTTATCGTTTTTGCTTTAAAAATAAAGCAACAGGAAGGATATGTAATCATTGAGGTCTTGAAGTGTTCCTAAACCCACAACAGTAAAATCAGTCTGTATGTGCAGTAAAGCATGCTTGTTATACTCGCTGTGGAACCTAAGTGGTTAATCCTCTGCATTGTTTAAAAATGTTGTTTGATCCTGTCTTCTCTGATCCTCCCCTTATTCCAGTGTCCTCCTCTTATTTCCTGATAAGACAATGTGTGGAGTCACTCTGCACATACTGAATTTAGTGTGTATTGCTAGAGTTTTTTTTTTTTTCTTGGGAGAGTGCATGTGACCAGCTCAGGGCCAATCAGCGCTGTCCAGACAGAGGTCAGGGGTTCTGCATCCTCCTAGAGCAGAAATAAAACTCCTCCTACAGCTTTAAGATGTGCTCTGCTGGACACTGATAGAAATGCAAGACTGCTCTAACTGCTGATGAGAAAAGGTATTTAGCAGTTTATATTTACTAAAACAATTGCATTTCCATGTCGTGAGTACTGTGGGAGACCAGATATAGTGAATGCAGGGTCCTGGGTTTAGTAACACTTTAATTTTAGGGCAATCTGCCTAATATGGGAGGAAAAAAATTTATATTTTATCCACGCTAAGCTTAAAGTATATGATACCCCACAACAATAAAAACTTTGCTTATTTATGTCCTCTGCTAAATATATAAGTGAAAGCATTTTGTTATATCGGTTTGAGAAATTCCTGACACACATCTTGTCAGCTGGTAACTTTCTGTGCTGCCCTGTTATATTGTTCTGAAGACTACAGGATCTCCCCCATGTGTGTTATGTATCAGGGAAAAGGGGGAGTTCCCTGTGGTTCTGTCCAGTGTCTGTTGTCATGACACAGTATGAGGAGTGAGCATGGTCATCCTAGAAAAGGAAGTGTGTTACTGGGAGAATTACCAGGTGAAAATAAAAAGCATGAAAAAAGATTTTAAAAAATATAGCCATCACATCTAAGGACTCGCAAGCTGCAAGATCATATTTTTGTGAGCTATCAAGTCACCTGTCAGACAGTCGGGAATTTTAGGTAAAATTTCAAAGATACTGATATCCAAACCAGCTAACATGCTGAAAAAATCCATAATGGTAACGGTGAACCTCACCCTGTTCTTGTTTATTTTCAAAGGCATGAGCAGAGAACCACTTTAAGCTTGGCTAGCAGAAACATCATTAAAAAAAAAACAAAAACACAAAAGCAGATTTCTGGAAAGTCTTCCTGCATGTAAGAACTGCTCAGTGTGAACTTACATAAGTTCCATGCCATCGCCTTGTCTACGTGCATAAGGGCTCCTCTGTAGCTCGACTATCTCAGTGTGGAGTCCCATTATTTGGTCATCCAGAAAGGAAATTTGTCCAGCCTGCAGGTTCAGAGCAATACAATAGAATATTTACAAACTCTTTTACAGAAAAGAGATATAGACAAAGTTAAATCTGGCCATTGACATGAAATGAACACTTGCCAGCCAGCTGCTCTCAGGGAAACAACTTTTGCTCACTAGACCTGTGTCTGGTGAAACATACTGTATATGTTAAAGACCATGTAAACAGACAGTTGTCTCTGGGCACTGAAAGAACAAATAGGGGTGAGAAGACAAAGGGAAAAGCAGAGGGTGGCAGGCAACTGAAAAACATTTTATATACAGCCTTCCCTAGACACCTACCGTATTTTTCGCCGTATAAGACGCACTTTTTCTTCCCCAAAAATGGGGGGGAAATGTCAGTGCGTCTTATAAGGCGAATATGGAGCGGCCGGTCCGGTATTTCCACCGCGGCCGTGTCAGAATACCGGGCCGGCCGCTCAGCTCTGCAGCGGGACCTTACCTGTTCCTCTATCCAGCGGCGTGCTGTCTTCCCGGCTTCTGTAGTGTGGGCACTGGGCATGACAGCCGGGTGCCCAGTGCGCATGCGCGAGAAGCGGTGCGCTTTGTGAATGGTAAGGCGGTACCTGGGACACATGACAGATCCCAGAAGCCGCCGGACCAATCACAAAGCGCAAGTGCTTCTCGCTCATGCGCACTGGGCACCCGGCTGTCATGCCGAGCGCCATTACAGAAGCCAGGAAGACAGCGCGCGGCTGGATCGAGGAACAGGTAAGATCGGGTACCTGTCAAATTCAGGTACCCGCTCCCCACCTCCCCAAAGGTCAGCAGTCATCTGTACTGTCCGCAGTCTCTGGTCATCCCTGTGCTGTCCGCAGTCTCTGGTCATCCCTGTGCTGTCCGCAGTCTCTGGTCATCCCTGTGCTGTCCGCAGTCTCTGGTCATCCCTGTGCTGTCCGCAGTCTCTGGTCATCCCTGTGCTGTCCGCAGTCTCTGGTCATCTCCTGTACTGTGTCTGCAGTCCATTAGCTCCGATTTTTTTTTTTCCTGTTTTCTGCCTCTAAAACCTAGGTGCGTCTTATGGGCAGGTGCGTCTTATACGGCGAAAAATACGGTAGGTGGTTTGTTGCATCTATCCAAGGCCCTAAAGCAGTACCAAAGCAAACACGCAATGACAGGCAACACAGCCCAGATAAACTTCCCTAATTAACATAAGATTTTCAGGATCTGAAATACCAGTTTTTGCCATCCTTCACCTACTGTATGCATATAAAACATCTTCGGAAGCATTTTATTAGTTTATGGGGGACAGAATAATTGTTTCACATATTACCTTCGCACATCCTACCGCTCGATCTTCCATCTCTTTCCAAGCTCTCAGCATCTTCTCTGAAGCTGACAAGTAGAGAAAAGATTTATTGGTCTTTTGGCCTAATGGCTAAAATAGACAAACAATCTGCTGGAATATCTGTCATGTTATTCAGATTACTGTGAAAAGGTGTGGGAATCTCAGAGCAGTGAAGATGGCAGGCAATTGAAAAACAGTCTGTAAGGGTGTACTGGTAAGGAGAATATAATTTGGGGTTGAGAAGGCTCTGCGTACACCCTACACCCTAAATATGGGTGTAACATGTAACACGTTACAAAAAGGTGAAATTATCCTTTAAAAATGTTGCCCCTGCATCCTTGCTACCCATCCTGCCTAATCTGTGTAAAAAGATGTGAATTCTTACTTATCTTGAGCCTAGGTTCACACTACAGCAGTGAGGTAAATCCCATGTGATTCGCATAGGAACCGCACCGCATTCCTGCACAAATCACATGTGATTTGTATGCAGTGCGATTAGAGCCATATATTTTGTATGGCTCTATTCGCACAGCACCTGCACCAAAAACATGCAGGACCCCTTTTTGGTCCACACTAGAATCGGATCACATGGGTATTTACACCTATGCAATCCAATTCTACACATCGCACTTGCGGACCGATGTTGGGGTGTTGTTAACTTAACCTACACACCCGCATCGGTTTGTATGAATGGAGTGCGATTGTGATGCAACGAAATTTGCACTGAAAACGCTGCGAATTCCGCACCGCATCAGTGTGAACCACGGCTTAGTCCACTCTAGTCCGGTCACATGATCCCCCTGTGACAGTGAACAGCAAATAAAGGGGAGAGGACAGAGTGCTTGACAACAGCTGGGAATCCCAAGAGCCACGAAGCCCCCCATAGGCTCTCACATTCCAGCCATTGTCAGTGCTCCATCTTTTCTCTTACCTTTTCCGCCTCTCACTGACAAAGGGGAGCTGGAGCTACAGGATCACATGACTGGACTGAAGTGGACCAAAACTAGGTAAGCATACTGATGTTTTTTTACAAATGGTTAGGAACCCTTTTAGGCATAGTTCATGCTAGTATGGTGTTCTACTTTATATCTGGAGGCAAAGAAGATTCTTGGTACTGACATTTTTCATACATTAGGCTTTAAGTATGAGAGAGATGATTTATTGATGGATAGTTTAACAAAAATATATATATATATAAATCAAGGGGGCAGTTTGTGTGGTAAATGGCTTCAAAAACAAGACAGCCTTTGTCAGGGTCCAAATGACTGAGTAAAGACTCTGGAGTCTAGCCAGGGAAAGTGTGGGCAGGTTTCCTGACCACCACATTGCACTCATCCACTCCAGGACCTTATTTTGAGGGAAGCTACAGGTGGCTTGGTAGGGGACAGTATATGTGCTGGGAGAGTGCTCTACAGTCTAAGTGTTAACAGGTTCAGGAGTATGGGTATTACTGAAGAAGCTGTCTGTGCTTTTAACAGACACAACCCAGAGCTGGCAAGACACCTCCGTTGATTTGTACTAGATATATCCCCTGCATAAGAAACTTGTGCATCGCTTTTTAGAAAGAGAAACCTCCCTGAATCTGAGGTTTGGGAAAAGGGCCGTATTCTGAAGCGAACACCCACAATACAAGAATAAAATAAATGATCTTTAGGTGTTCTAATGTGTTAAAATATTTGTTCTATGTACAGTTTGTTATTATTATGTACATGGAGGAAGCCATATTTGCTCATGGTATACCGGCTCTGCATCCCAGTGCCACCCAGCTATAATACTTTACTGCCCCTTCAGAAAAAAGGTGGTTGTAAACCTCAGACATGAGGTGACCTACAGCAGATTTCCACCAATCAGTTTTCAGAGCTCTCATCACGGAGTGTAACTTCAGCTCTCCACCCCCCTGCTTTTCAGAGCTGGGGGATCTTGTATAAATTCTGTACTTTCAATGGATATAGAGAAGAGAAGACAGCAGATAGACAGGTACAACTTACATAGGATCATTTGTTTCACCTCATGTGTATCACATGAAGCCAGTCACTTCACTGGGTATATGTAAGGGTTTACAACCACTTCTAAAGTTGGCTGACCCTACTGAAAGCAATCCACTCTGTGTGTCTTAATATATTGTCATTTCTTACATAGTTAGTCTGGCTGAAAAAAAAAAAAAAAGACAAAAAAGTCCATCCAGTTCAAGCATTCCAGAGGAATGCAAAAAAACCCAGCAAAGCATGAAGCAATTTGCTCCTGCAGGGGAAAAAATTCCTTCTTGATCCCCCGAGAGGAAAATCGGATATTCCCTGGATTAACTTTACCTATAAATGTTAGTATCCAGTTATATTCTGTGTATCTAAGAAAGAATCCAGACCTTTTTTAAAGCAATCCACTGAGCTGGCCAGAAAAAACAACTCTTGCGGGCGTCTATTCCACATTTTCACAGCTCTCACTGTAAAGAAACCTTTCCATGTTTGGAGAATAAATTTCTTTTCCTCCAGATGTAAAGAGTGTACCCTTGTCCTCTGTGATGACCTCAGAATGAATAACTCTACACCGAGTTCACTATATGAACCACTGATGTATTTATACATGTTGATCATATCCCCCTTAATCTCCTCTTCTCCAAAGAGAATACATTAAATTCCTCTAATCTTTTCCTCATAGCGGAGCTCCTGGATGCCTCTTGTCAGTTTGGTTGCCCTTCTTCGTACTTTCTCCACTTCTTAAGCAAGTAGGAAGTGAAATACAAAGCGCCACCTAGTGGTTAAGCTATAAATCTCTCTACATGCATGGCAACATGGCCAGTGAAGTTGCACTCACAGATTCCATAGGCCATTTGATCACTGTAGCGCTCTAAATCAATCTCAATGCTTTTCTTGAAAAACTGCAGCTTGGCGTCTAATTGTTGGGAGGCGGACACCATTGTATTCTTCATCTTTGTTAGGTTGGTATTGTAGCGGAGTAGACTAAGCCTAACAAAAGAAAATAAGGTGAGGACAGTTAACAAGTAAAGGAGTGTTAAAACAAACTGCTCAGCCATTTCAAACTTTTAAAGAGAAAAAAAAAAAAAGTTTGCCTAACAGCAAGTGCCACAGGAAAGCCTAATCTGTGTGCCCTTCTGATCTTGGTTTTACTTTATTACCAATTATATGCTAAAACAAAAAGGTTTTCTTTAGTTTTAGATAAAGCAGGGAAGATTTAGAGTCTCTGACAAGTTTTTTTTGTGGTCTGTATCTTTGATGGGTAGATTCACCCCCTATATTCGTCCTGGTCAAATTATATATTTTCTCTATTATTTTTTTTTTTTTTTTTTTTAAACTATCTGGCTACCTGTATACCCTGTTCTGAATAGAATCAGATGCTGAATACTTACATTGCTGCTCTTTGTCCCTGGAAAAGACGGCTATAGTCTTCCTTCAGCCCAGAACATAGTGAACAGCCTCTGCCCACACCTTGCGCAGCTGTAGTATGGGAAGCTGAACTCTGCTGTCCTGTACTACACAAAATGAAAAAAACATTTGTTTTTTTTTCTATTTGTGATCAATGGTTAAAAACCAGACACAAAGTAGATTAAAGCATTAAAAAATTAAAATGTAAGACAATAGTATCATAAAGCTTAAAGCACACTAAACAAAAAAAAAAAAATAATTATATATATAGTTGCACTTCCTAAAATTTGTACTTGATATTTATGTTCAATCCCTTGAATTAAAGCTCAAAGTGTATGCTTCAAATTCATTTGGATGGTTTAATTTTAATTCATTCCGGTGGCATACAGAGCCAAACGTATGAAAATTGTGCCTGTGTCCAAATATATATGGACCTAACTGTATATAATTATTATTATAAATGCTTTAAAGTGTAATTGATGGCAAAACTTTTTTTTTTAGTGACGTGAAGATGGATTAGAAAATCTGTTAGATTTTTATTGTAGTCTGTGCCAGTTAGGGAGATTGACACTCACTATTTGTCCTGTGTACCATTATCATCAAAATTGAAAGAAAAACCCAAATTGTGGGTTGCCCCTAGAAAAATCATAGGAGGGGAAAATTTCCAATAGGGACACCCAAGGAATTCCCTTAATTTCCAGAGATTTTCTCACTATCTGTTTTGGCTATGGGACAGGAAGTGAAGATAAATCTTCCCATTAGAACACAGATGGCAAAAAAATAATCGGACAGTGGTTAAAACCCTCCCTTCCTCAATCCAAAAAGAGAAAAAAAAAAAAGTTTTGCCTATAGTTTGACTTCTCTCCTTGTAGCCAACTGTTTATATGCACTGAGAGACTACAGGTGTAAATGGTGACAAATGATGAGCCAAAGTGAAAAAAAAAAAAATAATCTCCAACTCCTCTTTACACAAGTATGTTCCTCCCTGCTGGCCTCTGGATGGCGCAAACTTTGATCAGTCGCCTGATTACTGTTCCTAACGCAAATCTGATTGAATGTAATCAACCAATTTATTTGCAAAACCGCATAGCTAAAATCTACACTATCCAGTGGCCAGCTCACCTGGAACATTCACATCTAAAAAGGGTGCCCGGGGATAATTTCTTTTGCTCTTGCTCAGCAGCATAACAGTACTATAACTGGGAGAACTTCAAGGAACCATGGGAAATGTAGTTTTTCGATCAGAAGGAAGCTAATCTGTCACCAACCCCCTCCCATTCCTATTGACTTACCAATATAATTTACACATTCTGATAGATTTCTTGGTTGGAAAGGCCCTTCATAAGCAGTCTTGCTCTTATCAAACAAATATACCATATAACTGTCCCAGCCTCTCTGCAGAAAATTAGAAAATAAACAAACATGGTATATTATACATGTTTAGAAATTCTTACTCTTAAACCCCCCCTCCCCCCCCCCCCCAAAAAAAAAAAGAGACATTCATTTCGTATCTTTATTCAGAAAAAAGTACAGATGTAAGATTACTAAAATAATCTGCAGCTCACAAGACCCTCATTATCAAACAGGATAGGTCGACATTATCTCCTTACAAAAATAGCTCAGCTAAACACCAGACCAGACATTTTAGAAGTTAGTTAAGAAATGTGTGTCCTATGATTCAGCTGTACGACTTGTGAAGGAAAAATTAATGGTAGCTAACAGGGAAAGTCTGATCTATGCACACACTGCTCAGGAAAGTGACCGGTAGCCATGCCAAACCTCCATCTTTCTCTCTGCTGCAAAGTGAAACAGGGGCATTTACTGGCTATGTACTCTTACCTAACCATTTAAAAAAAAAAAAAAAAAACGGGCGTCAAACTCAATTTCATTGCGGGCCATACCAGCATTATGGTTGTCTTCAAAGAGCCATTTGTATTGGTAAATCTATATAAATTTATCCAGGACTTGTTGCCCCCCTTAGAGAATAGATACAGAAACTCAACCACACCGTCTTTGCCAAACTGCATCGAACAGTGGGTGTGGCCAGATTACAGTGGGAGCATCTTGTAGGGGCAATAAATACCAAGAGTACATTCTGTGCAGAGTTCAGGGGTGTGCTATGTACAGAGTTCAGTAGTGTCCTATGAACAGAGTGCAGAGATCAAGGATGTGCTATGTACTAACGCAGTTTCAGAGGTGCCCTATATAGAAGGCTTCTGTGTTTACAAGTGACAGTGGTGAACGGAGAGCAGAGGATGAGAACCAGAGGTGGGGAATGGAGTTCTTCCACACTGTGGCTGAAAAAAAAGCCCTGGATGTGTAGGCCACATAAAATGGCCTGACAGGCTTGATGGGGCCCATGGACCATGTGTTTGGCATGTTTTAAAAAGGACAAAACCACTGCTACACTCTATGAAGTTCAGAAATTATTGCTTAAGCAATCAAAAGCTTGCAGTAATCCAGAATTATATTAAGTGGAAAGGGTTCTGAAGTAACAAATGAAAAAAAAAGAAGTGATGGGTGAGCAATTTTGAAGAAAGCCTGCTGTTGTCCAGCCTTGTTAATAAAGTATGCAGTAATTTATTTACAGCACTTCAGTTTGTGTCTTTCAAAGATACTTGCCTTCAGCCTTTAAAAGTGTAAGTCGACTTTTGTGAGCTCTGATGCCTTTGCTCATCACTCCCTACCAGCAACACACCTACTTGTCCCCCCCATCCACCAAGATCTTTGCTGTGTGGCCTGCACGGCACCTACAGCCCCTTCATAAAAGATGTTCAAACTTGAGTCCTGCTCCTTCCTGAGCATGTGTACCAAGATCTCCATGAATTGCAAAGGGAGACCTATACTCTGGAGGAGTAATACAAATATTCAATTGGAATTAATGGAGAATGCAATGAGCAGGACTTGATGATGAAGATGTTCAAGACCTGCGCAACAGGGACAGTAAGTGTGTTTTTTCAGGGGTGATGACAGAGCACATTAAAAGTGTGTTTACACTTTACATGATGTCCTACATAAAAGTATTGCAAAGCTTACCACTCCATCTATCACACACACACTGGGAGGCAGGTTTTCTGGGGTCAAGAGACACCCCCATTTCAAGCAGCAACTCCTGATTGCAGGTATTAATTCCAGTCTCTTTTTCAATGTTGGACTGAAGAGAGTGTAAACTTTCCTCAGGTTGTAGGAGGAAAGAGATGATCTTAGCAGATGTCATGTTCAAAATGTGTACAATCTGTAGACGAAGTATAGAGGAATGAAAAATACAATGCACCACCATTAGCGTTGCAAATAGTTATTGACTACTGTAGCTAGAATTGATAATTTCAGGTCCGTTACACACAAAAGAAAAGCCCAACGTACCTTTAGGTTCAGAATGCGATCCATTAACACAAAACAACGAGGCCGACCGGAGTGCTCATCAATTCCACCTCCGCGTTGCTGGGGGTCCCAGTTTAGTACAAGCTGTAGCCACGTCTCCAGGTGCTCTACCATGATGCTTCCAAAAACAAAAAAATAAAAAAAAAGTAAAAAACATCATATTTCCTCATAAGAAGCAGAAAATTAAAAAAAAAACCTTAGTGAAATTGTAAAGGGTTATTTTGTTTTTCTTAAAAATAACAAACATGTTATACTTACCTGCTCTGTGCAATGGTTTTGCAGCCTCAACCTCCTCTTCAGAGTTCCTCCGCTTGCGCTCTTGGCTTCTCCTTCCTTCATGTGTCCCCACAGCAAACTGCTTGCTATGGGGGTCATGCATGTGGGTTTGATCCAGAGCCGGGCTTTGTGCATCTACACACACACACACACCCTTGCCCCCCCCCCCCCCCCTCCGCTCCCACCTCACAGGATTTGATTGACATCAGCAGGAGCCAGTGGCTCCCGCTGCTGCCTCTAAATTCCACGAGGAATTGGTAAATATAAAATTGATCATATAGAGCTTGTGTGGTAAGACTGTAACTTATATGGTGAGCCTAAAGATATACATATATTTATATTAAATACACACAGACACTGATCAGCTATAACTTTATGGCTACCACATAATATTCAGTAGGTCCCCTTTTTCTGGCAAAACAGCCCTGACCTGTTGAGGCATAGACACCACTAACCCCCTGAAGGTATGCTCTGGAATCTGGCACCATGCTGTCAGTAGCAGATCCTTTAAATCCAGTAAGCTGTGAGGTGGGGCATCCATGGATCTGACTTGCTTTTCCAACACATCCCACAGATGCTCAATAGGACTGAGCTCTTTGGAATTTGGTGTCCAAGGCAACACCTTTAACTCATTGTCCTGTTCCTCAAACAATTCTTAACCCATTTTTGGAGTCTGGGAGGGTGCATTAACCTGTTGAAAGAGGCCAGTGCTATCACAGAAAACCATGAAGGCGTGTAGTTGGTCAGAACAATGTTTTACGTAGGTTGTACAAGGAACATTCACACGAATGGCAGGAGACAAGGATTAACTTAATCTGTCATAAAAAGGTATGGTTTAAGACTTAAGATATGCCATCAGAATGATCAGACCACTAAATTGTTTTTCCTATCTGATATGCCCTATCTACCGGATTGCGCATGGCAACCCTGTATGGACAATATTATGGCGCAGTTCTGCCTTCTTAATTAGCAAAGATCAAAAATATTCACATTTCATTACAATGTTCGATGCCAAAGAACTGCTATCTTGGAGGTTATAGGGTGTGAGATCATTTAATGCCCATATATGATCAGATTATTTCACAAAATGTGTAAATCTTTAATATCATTCAAGATTTCTTCTATCTGTATGGGTTCCTTAATTTAACAACCAACGAAAAGAATTTGTGTATGTTCTTTTTTGCCCTCCTACACCAAAGTAACCAAACCAGTTCTTTTGTTTTAAAGATTTTGTGTTCCTTGTAGGTTTAGTGAAAAGTCAGTTCTTCCTATCTCAGTAAATTTCAAGCATCTCCTCAAAATCTTCGTGGCCGACACTGAAAATTACAAATGCTTGAAATACCGCCCCCTTTCCTAACAACTATACTAACTACCCTGTGGAAGAAAGATGCATATTCTCAAGTGGTTCCAGTTCGGTCATGTGATCTCCCTTGTGTGAGCCAGCCCTGCTACAGAGGGGAGAGGAGAGAGCGTTCTGCTCAGCTGGAATGCCTGAGTGGTGGCATCAACCATAGGCTTACTATGGGCCTCAGTTGTCAGCAATCCCTCCTCTCCCCTGAAGTTGCTGCTTGCTGACACAAGGGAGCCGATCATGTGACCAGACTAGAGTGGCCTGATAAAAGGTAAGTGTACAGATCATTTTTCTACAGGGTAGTTAATATAGGTGTTAGAAGGGGGGCGGGAGCGGTGTTAGGATTAGTTCGTATAAGTGTGCAATTCCACTTTAAGAGTCCTATATCAAAGTATAAATCTGTAATCAAATGGTACAGAAGACAAGAACAATAAAAAAGAAATACAGCGAATTGCATTGGTCACAGGGTACAGCACAGCAACCTATTTTGTTTCATTTAAGGAAAAGTCAGAATTGATTTAAGGGAAGCAGCACAATATGGTAGCTGTAATTTATACTGTAAAAAAAGAATGCAAAGATATACAGCAATCATTCATAACATTATAACCACTGACAGGTAAAGTAAATAACATGGATTATCTCACAACTATAGCACCAGAAAGTTGGGGGGACATGTTAGGCAGCAAGTGAACATGTTGATGTATTGAAAGCAGAAAAAAAAAATAGGCAAGCATAAAAGTAATGGCTAGACAAATGGGTCAGAGCATCTCCAAAACTGCTACTCATGTGGGATGTTCCTGGTCTGCAGTGGTCTGAACCTACCAAAAGTGGTCCAAGTAAGGAAAACCAGCAACAGATACCACAGCATACTTTCAGAGGTCCATACCTTGATGGGAGGTCATAATGTTAAGGCTGATCAGTATATGCAATACTTTCAGCGCAACTCTGGAGAAAGTAGATGATATTAATTCTACCTAGCAGAGAACACCTGTTTCAGGACTCAGGATGAGGAAAAGCTTACAAACATTGTTAGAAAATTCACACAAGAGCTCAAAGAGGGTCCACACACATACATAACATATTAGGGATGCACCGAAATATATCGGACGAAAATAGCCCCATCAGCATTTTGCCGATAGGAAACATTTAGTCGATACAGGGGGCTGTGTGTACTGCAGATGTGGCTGTTTAATCGCCTCCCACCTGCCATATAAGGTAATGATGGGCGAAAGGCGGGTTCGCTCATTGTGGGAGGACGTCATATGACGTCCTCCCATTGTAACCTAGCATGCGCAGCTTCGGGGAGCGCAGCGATCGGTGGTGCGCTGTGTCCCTCAGACACAGAGGATCACCGATCAACGGAAAGAGCCAAAGATGTCGGCTTGGTCATGTGATCAGCTGTGTCCAATCACAGCTGATCACATGTAAATAGGGAAATGCCAGTTATCGGAATTTCTCTCCTCACGAGCTGTCACACTGACAGCTCGAGAGGAGAGCCGGTAATCGGCATTACTCAGAGGGGACATGTGCACTGATAATCAGGGCACTGATGATCAGTGTGCCCTGATGATCTGTGTAGCTCCAGCAGTGCCACCTGTCAGTGCCCATCAATGTCACCTGTCAGTGCCCATCAGTGCCACATCAATACCACATATCAGTGCCTACCAGTGCACATCAATGCCACATATCAGTGCCCATCAGAGCTGCCTTTCAGTGCCACCTATCAATGCCAGTCAGTGCCACTTATCAGTGCTGCCAATCAGTGCCAGTCAGTGATGCCTATCAGTGCCAAATATCAGTGCTGCCTTTCAGTGCCCATCAGTGATGCCTGTCAATGCCCATCAGTGCCACCTACCAGTGCCTCCTCATCAGTGCAGCCTATCAGTGTCCATCAGTGCAGCCTCATTAGCGCACATCAGTGAAGGGAAAAAAAAAAAAAATCACTTATTTACAAAATGTTATAACAAAAACTAAGAAAAAAAAACGTTTTTTTCTTTAAAACTTTTAGTGGTTTTTGGTTTGTTTAGCAAAAAAATATAAAAACTGAAAAGGTGATTAAATACCACCAAAAGAAAGCTCAATCTGTCTAAAAAAAAAATGATAAAAATTTCATATGGGTACAGTGTTGCATGACCGCGCAATTGTCATTCAAAAAGTGTGACAGCGCTGCAAGCTGAAAATTGGCCTGGGCAGGAAGGGGGTATAAGTGCCCTGCAGGCAAGTGGTTAAAGGCAGGAGAGGAGCAGTGTATACAGTGAGCTACCGCTAAACGTCACTGGCAGTTTTTAAATGTAAATTATCGGCTATTTGTTTTCCTTCACTAAAAATTCAAGAAGGAGTTGTCATTCTGCCCACCACTAAAGGAAAACAAAAGGGCGGGATCACTGGGTAATTTAACTGGGGGACCCCGACCCTTTGTTTCTTTTAGCAGCGGGGAGAATGACAACTCCTATGTGATCCTAATAACATCTTAAAGTTAAACAAAATAAATAAAAATACACATGAAAAGTAAGAAAACAAAAAAAAAAAAAAAAAAAAAAAAAAAAAAAAAAACACCTCAAAAAAAGAAAAATTTTTTGAGCCTCCCCACATACACTTTGGTTTTCGGCCACGTGCATTCTGAATTTTTGGTATCGGTTTCAGCCTCAGAATTTTCAATTCAGTGCACCACTAATACATACCTACATACATACGAGAGGGAGGATATCAAAACAGATTTGCTGATCTGTTAGTTCTTTTTTGACAATGCTCCAAGATTATGCAATCTAAATCACTTGCTGCACTGTGAAATAATGAGTAAGCCATAACCGTCATCATTAGAAACAACTTCACTGGTCTTAGCAAAGACATAAAAACAGGTATTTTAAATTGAATTGGTGGGAAAACAAAAATTTAGAAGAGTCAATGAAAGACAAAGCCTGATCCAATTTTATTTTTAGAAGCTGCAGCTCTATAAAAGCTACACCATCTTCCCCTATTTGTGCATCTAGAGGGAAAAAAACTGAGCACCCGAGTCCATAACGTTGTTAGGTCAGCCAGAACTTCTGGCAACTGCTGAACATAGGATGCTTTGTGTTACCAATATTCTACCGGAATCTTCTCAGCTGTATGGAGCCAGCCAGGATCCCTACCAGAAACCAGACTTATGATGTTCAATGTGAGCATCAAACAAGGTCAAGGGCTGCCTATAGCAGCTCCACAACATTCATTTGTCACTTTGGTTGAGAGTAGAAAAGAGAAACGATAGAGTAGAATAATACTTAACCCCCCCTCCCCAAACACTAAAGCACTTATAAAAGAACAGGGAACCCACGGGAAATCTAGGTAGGAGTCTCCTCTAAATATGGGGATTTCACCTCTTAGGCAGTTGTAAATGGAACAAGGGTCCTTGAAAGATAACCCTCACCTCTTGGTCTGGTGACAACGCTAAAATGTTGGGGACTGAATCTGCCCTGCGGGCACACATACAGAAAAAAAAAAACAAAACAAAAAAAAACACGCACACCATAAAGAAAAGCATTTAGCTATACAGGTCAAATCATAGTTTCATTAGCAAGCATGAGAACAAATGCTTGCACCTCTTCAGCACCATACAAACATTAGGCCATTGCCAGATGTGCAAACACTGTAATGACTTTTGGGGACTATTTCTTAAAAAAAAAGAAAACCAAAACATTATATTATTTCAAACTGGGAATCCTAGCTGACTGTGAGAGGTTAACCTCCTTGATTGATCAACTGCAGGTGACCTTCCAGGAGCTACCATAACCAATGAGGGAAAAAGCTTGTTCAACACACAATATCACTATTTGAATTTCTACAGGTGATCAAACAAAGTACCAGAAAATTACAATGGTGGTATCTGATTCTGGTTATTCCAAGACCTTGCAGATGTATGTCATCTAAACAAGTACCATTGTCTATGGGAAGCTAGGAGTTACTTCAATTACAGGAAACTCAATTATAGGGAGTCAAACATCTCACAAAACCTTGGAAGTGTGGATTCCCAAACAAGACTTTTTGAGCCGACAATATACTATTATCCACTGAGGTCAAAATATAACTGGCTGTTTACCCTAATTCCCACACAATAAACAGGTAAACAGAGGGTTTTTCCTCCTCATGGGAACCTCATGCCTTAAACAAGAAGGTGAAACTTAGGTCATCTAAAAGCTGAAAACTTGATATATCTACCCACAGATACATTATCAAAAGGCATATGACCAACACTTTTTATCAAGGGAAAATATCTTTGAGAAGGTTAGGTATTGCATTCCACTCAACTAAGTTTGAAGTGATGAAGCAGAAGATGATTTGTGAATTGGGGTAAATTTTATATTTCCAAAAGAAATCCAATACAGTTAAATATCAGGAAAATGAGAAACCAAATGTATTTACATCTTTCTATGGTCCTTATCCAAGAGTTAGTAGTGAAATCAACTGTACTTGAATAGGACATATATTTGATACATAAAGAGATTTTGTTTCTATCAAATGAGTCATCATTAAGACCACCAATTCATTTGTGATACCGGACTGTCCCCAGTGGACAGGTGAGGAATCTCTCTAGATGCGCAACTTCTCAACCGTCCAATCATCAAGTCTGTTGGGAGGTCTTTTTGGAACAATGGAATTGGAGGATATAAAATGCCAAACACCAAAAACTCAAGAGAACTCACAAACTGATGAACTCACTTGCTCACCTGATCACTTCAAGACTTCTAATAATCACTTCACTTCTTCTGAAAGACTGCTACTACTTCTAGATCACTTCTGAACTTAATCTTCCAACTATTTCTTCACTACTCCTATCACTATATACTGCACTATACTCACTTGCTACCTGCGGCCATTTTGCTGAGAACTTCCAGCTGCCATTTTGAAGGAAGAGAGTTCCACCAGAGACGCTCATGCTCAGTTAAATTTTGGGAGTGTGATACTGTGCTAGATTATATTTTCTTTGACATTTCAACTTTCTAAGACTTATAACATTTATTGTGTGTTTAGGAATATATTGAGATTGAGAGATATATATATATATATATATCACTAAAATTGTTTGATTTTTGGTATCAAGATTATATATTGCATATTAACTGATTTGTAGTTTTGTTGTAGTGCAATTTATCAGAGAATACTTTCTTATATTCCTATGGCCAGGGAATATGAGAAAAAATTTCTGAAGCACTATAAGATTAATCCCTCAAAATTTAGGTTTTCTTATATTTACTATGATCTGAAATCATATATTGTTTGATCATATAGAAATTAGCATATCATATTTTTGATTGTGTGTACAAGTATACATTTATCACCAGTATTTTGCGTTTGTATTAATATATATATACATTTTGTACATAAATAAATTTATTAAAAAGGCAAATTTTGTTTATATGGTACGAAATCATATTGGTAAAAGAATTCAAAAGGTATATTATTAAATTGTGATCAAATTATTAAGGTGTCCAAGATATTGGTTCATTAAATATTTGCCGTATTTTAAACGGCTGGAGGCAGTGCAATATTTTGTTTAAGGGAGAGGACCCCGCCCTACGTATTTAGAATAAATTATTACATAAACCACCACAGGATAAATTTGGAGGCACTGCTGAGAGCCAAAGAAATCGTACCATAATACAAAATGCACTGGTGATTATATATTTATACACATTGTCAAAAATATATTTTGTATAAAAATGGCATCCAGTAACCACGGATCCACCTCTTCCAAGCATAGCAAGGAAAAGGTAGCTGTTCAGAATGTTGAAGAGGAAACTCCTAAGAGAGCTAGAAAAGTCCGCGATGCTTGGCAACGGTATACAGAATGTGCGGTAATAGATCATCTCCGCCAGAGATTAGATTTAGGGGATAGCACTGAGGAATTAGTAGAAGAAGAGAAGGTGCAAGCTCAAAGCACATGAGGACCTGTTTAACCAGAAGGGTCGGGTTGTCAGGTTTTTATTAGCATTTTCTGAAGCAGAAAATAATAAAAGCTGTGACAGACTTTTCCTAGAAGCATGGCCCATGTTATGGTTTATCAGCAGTGAAGCTGCCCAGCAAACGCCAACTTTAAGGAAGGACTTGTCAGAAGCCCGCCACCTTTTGAAAGACAGAGATCAGGAAATGGAGTCATTGAGGGAGAAGCTTGACCATACCTGTGTTCGTCTAGACCAGGCATGTCCAAAGTCTGGCCCGCGGGCCATTTACGGCCCAGGGGTCGGTTTAATACGGCCCTCCAACAGCCCTCCCTGCTCTATGTAATGTGGCCCTCCCACGGCCCTCCCTTCTATGGCAGACAGTCTTCTGCTTGAGAGCAGAGGGCACTGCGCATGCCTGACTGCGGCGCGTTCTCCCTGGTCTGTGTAAATGCGGCTGTCGCACGGCCCTCCCTTCTGTGGCAGACAGTCTTCTGCTTGAAGGCAGTGCGCATGCCTGACTGCGCCGTGCTGGGAGCGACAGAGGGCGGTGACGTCAGGGCCGGGCTTCTAGCATGAAGTGTGTTTCTCTTCCCCTCCCGGCTGCCGAGCAGAGACTTCAGCTCCAGCTACCTTTTTCACCCTTCACATTAGTGCAGGTAAGTTTTTTTTTAATTATATTTTCAATACATTGTAAAAACTCAGCTGTCAGTGGATCTTAATGTTATGAAATGAAAAGTATGTCGTTTGCAATTAACTTGGCATAAAATAATTTATTTGCATTTAATTGTAATGGTTCAAAGAATGTTTGGAAAAATGTTCGGCCCTCCACCATGT